CCCTCTTTTTGTAGCTCCACACATTAATTAAATTAATCATCTAAGTTCAGGATTTTAGAGAGACACGGTGCTGACTTAACAAGCTCTTGTCCCGTGTCGCTGCTCTATTTTACTGAGAGGAGAACAATCCATGAACTTCCTTCCACGTACCGGGTATGTGTAATGTAGTATGTCAGGATACAGGTAGAGTGTTGATAATATTATAAATGATGTACAGGGGTTAACTTGCCGGTATTTAAAAAACACGTTAGCTTTCGATCAATTTTGATGTCAATTGAATCATATTAATAAAAAAAGAAAGTTATTTAGGTCTATATTTCTTTGAACGAATTTTATTTTTTCTGGTCAGCAAGAACGTCAGACCTCTCGTGAATGACATGAAATATTTATAATATTTAGCGGGGAAAAAACCCATAAACGTACAAGTACTATCTTTAAGTACTTTTAGAGAGAGAGAGAGAGAAAGAGAGAGAGAGAGAGAGAGAGAGAGAGAGAGAGAGAGAGAGAGAGAGAGAGAGAGATGGGGGGGGGGGGGCACACACACACGCCACGAGCAAACGCACGCTTGCACGCACGCACGCATGCACGCACACACACACACACACACACACACACACACACACACACACACACACACACACACACACATACAGAGAACAATATTATGCATAACTGTAACAAAAACAACGGTAATAACAACAACAACGACAACAACAACAATAACATAAACAACAACAGGCGGCGCTGAGGTCGTCATCACAACGAGGGACCCGTCCAACCCGACCGTTGTCGAGAGAAACTGAGGGAGAAAGACACTACATTATTTATTCACGTGCTCTTTCAAGAAAGAGAGGAGAGCCTTGGAAATGGCCATTGACTGGATCGACAAACAGTGTGATGAATCCAACTCGGTCGCTATCTTCCATTTTTTTTATTTTTTTTTGTGTAAAGTGTTTTACGGCGCTCGCAACAGCATAATGTCGTATGAGCGCGCGGGACACACCTAATATTTTCAGTTGGTAGGAAATTTTGAATTTTGCCTGGGTGGCGGCCGAAGCTTACTCTTATCGATTTTAGACCACCAAGGGATCTTTAACGTGCACAACTTGCACACGGGCCCTCCGAGATTTTTCGCCCTTGTCTGAGAAGGCTAGGTGTAGATCTTTCCTACCAGAAGATCAGGGGTGTGGCAGAAAGACAGCAGTAAGGAGGAGCCAAGGAGTAGCAGTAGAAAGGCTGCAGAAAGAGTCAGGAACCCAGAGGAGGGGGCAAAGGAGGTGAGGGGTGGGGGTGAGAAAGTGGAATTAATGAAAGCAGACAACAGAGCATTGCTTGAGAGCAGAAAAGAAGGTGAAAGGAGACAATTTTAGAGAAGAAAATTTTTCGGTCGCTACGTACCTGGATTCGAACCCGGGACCTTTGAATGAGAGGCCAACACCTTAACCTCCAGGCGACGAGAGCCCCTCGCAATCTTCACTGACAGTCAATCGCTATGCATGGCACTAGTGGGAATTTCACCATCCCTCGACCAATTGCGACCACAGATAAATAATACAACACCTCAACCAACGATTCAGTGGATCCCTGGTCACTTCCATATCCTCGGCCGGCAACGATCTCGCAGACAGTAATGCCAAACTAACAACTGCAGTGCCGGACCCAGACCGCCAAATTGCATTTGAAAATGCGTGCGCCCAGATAAAACTGACCCCAAAAAACAATCCGATATCCCAAAATGCAGACGAAGGAAATATACATGGCAATTTCCTTAAAACGAAAGACTCAAATTAAGTCCCGCAGTGACCAGTCACTACTGGTAAGATTCAGGACCGGTCACTTCTCTGGGCTGTGGGCCTACAAAAATAGAATAGACAAAACATCGTGCCCAATCTGTCCATTGTGCAGCGAGGAGCCTCAAGATTTAGAGCACAGGATGAAGAGATGCCCCGTCACGGAGGTCCGGCGGTGGCATCTCTTTGGAGAGGATTCGGGAAAGTTAGTATTATGATAATTATTAGGATTATTTATTTATTTGTTTATTTATTTTAATCTAGTCATTATTTAATTCTTGTATTTTCTCCCCCCCCCCCCCCCCCCCTTAATTATCATTAATCTCTCTCTTGCCCTTTTTAACTCCCAGTGGAGCACAGGCCATCAACAACATTACTCCAGCGAGCCTGTCCTGAGCATCCTTTTCTATGTTTCCATGATGTCCCCACATTTTCAATTTCCGCTTGTACCGCTCGCCTCCATGTCATCTTTGGTCTTCCCTTCTTACGCTTTCCATGTGGGTTCCACGTTAAAGCCTGTCTGATGATGCTTATCGGGGGTCTCCTCAGGGTGTGTCCAATCCATTTCCAAATTATCGTTAATACTGCCCTTTATCCTTAATCGTGTTATCGATAAAAATGGACGGTAACATAAATGATGACACTATAAAGGGGTGGGGGGGTGGTGAGGAGAATAAATGG